TCTTTCCATCTTAAAAATGACTTTTTGTTGAAAGATCACAGTGACAGTGTCTTCAAAAGCTTGAAGAAAGGAAGAAAGAAAGAAAGAAAGGCAGGCTTAAAACAAGAAGTACCTACATGGTGGGTCAGTAGCAGATTTAGAGCACAAGTGAAACAAATTTGATCATTACTTGGATTGTATCTTATTTTCTTCTGAGTTTCTGTAGCAGTCTCGTAAGACTCCATTTCTTACAGAACTAAACCTAGATCAGTCGTTGATAAACTACCATCATTAAACAAGACAACCACCTTCTGCCTCAGTATTCTGAGTTTCAGCTTCAACACTTCGTGTCTTAAATCAAAAAATGCACTTCCTAGAGCAAACCACAAAACCAGCATGCTGTAAGGAAAGGGGTGTGACCAATACTTTGAGTGACAGACTTGATCGACAGACTTCACAGTACAGTGAATTAAAGAATCAACACAACATTCATAAAAGCACCACTATCTCAGGCTACATCTGACACTAGCCAGAAAAAAAAAGTGAATAGCTGGCCAAATTTATTCATTTTTCTGAGGTCCCTGTGTTCTTTTTACTCCAAAGTTGCTATAAGTAGCTACAAGGCTGCAGCCATCATCCAAAGTCTGGTCAGAAACCACCTGCTTCAAAAACCTTCGGTGTCCATTCGTATGGCATTTGCCCACATGAAACTTCACATAGCTTTGAAATATGCACAGAGTTAGGGTTCCTTCTGAAAGCACACTGAATTCCTGAGGTGCCATGAGATGACAGAAGAAAGGCAAGAAACAAGTACAGGATGCTTAAATATGTCTAAACTTGATTTTTTCCGCCACTTCCTGAAGACCTCTGAAAGCTAATCCATTGACCACTCACAGGGGTGCAGACTATAAGCTGAAAAATCACTCTTCTGATTACAAAAAAGTAAATGCTTGTATTAACAGATTTTTGAGGTGGTTGTCTAGTAATTTCTAATTCCTCCGATCATGTAGTAACCTTTAACTAAAGGAGCTTGAGAGAAAACCTTATGTGAAGGTGTAAGTTGCTTACTGCAACTGTAAAGCACCTGGGTCCCCAGCAGTATTGACAAAGACATTCACATACCACTGACTAAATAAGGTACTACAATTCTCTGGCTCCTCTACTGCCTCATTTTACAGTATGTATATTTATGGTTGGTTATTCTACAAATCTGGGAGATTAATTTTGCCAAACATTTGTGTGAACGCTAAACAGCGATGATTAAAGCAGTAGCAAAATTGTTTAAGTCTCTTGAGCATGCCATCCAGAGAGACCTGGACAGGCTGGAGAGGTGGGCCCAAGCCAACCTCATGCAGTTCAACAAGGCCAAGTGCAAGGTCCTACATCGGGGTTGGGGCAATTCTAAGCACAAACACAGGCTCGACGGGGAATGGCTGGAGAGCAGCCCTGAGGAGAAGGACCTGAGTGTGCTGATTGACCAGAAGCTCAGCGTGAGCCAGTAATGTGCAGTCGCAGCCCAGAAGGCCAACCGGATCCTGGGCTGCATCAGAAGCACAGCCAGCAGGTCAAAGGACGTGATTCTGCCTCTCTACTCCACTCTCGTGAGACCCCACCTGGAGTACTGTGTCCAGCTCTGGAGTCCCCAACATAAGAAGGACATGGACCTGCTGGAGTGTGTCCAGAGGAGAGCCACGAGGATGATCCGAGGGTTGGAGCACCTCTCCTATGAGGAAAGGCTGAGAGAGTTGGGGCTGTTCAGCCTGGAGAAGAGAAGGCTCCGGGGAGACCTTATTGCCGCCTTCCAGTACCTAAAGGGGGCCTACAGGAGAGCTGGGGAAGGACTTTTACTAGGGCATGTAGTGATAGGATGAGGGGGAATGGCTTTAAACTGGAAGAGGGCAGGTTGAGATTAAACATGAGGAAGAAATTTTTCCCTTTGAGGGTGGTAAGGCACTGGAACAGGTTGCCCAGAGAGGTTGTTGAGGCCCCATCCCTGGAGGTGTTCAAGGCCAGGCTGGATGGGGCTTTGAGCAACCTGGTCTAGTGGGAGGTGTCCCTGCCCATGGCAGGGGGGTTGGAACTCAATGATCTTCAAGGTCGCTTACAACCTAAACCATTCTCTGATTCTATGATAAGTTTCCTGCAACTTTACATGAACGCAGACATCAAATTTAAATCTTTGGTTAAACTAGAGACCTTGCAAGGAAAGGTAGAAAATATTTCTGTAAGTAAATGATCTAACAATCAAGTTGACAACAGAAAACTATCTTTACGTATACAAAATAGGTATTTACACTTGACAAAACCAGAGCTCTAGAGAAAACCCTAGATCTACTTAATTCCACTCAACTCTACAGTTATGCTGCCATCTAGTGAAATGGGATACTGACTCTCCTCTGCAAGACTCAAAGTTGGTCCCAATGAAAACCATTATCCCCAAGAGACTTGTATCACAGCGACCACCTTTCACTGGTAAATACCTTATTCTTCCGTCTGCTCCTCCTTCACCACTCCATTTTTGTAACGTGCATTACAAGGTGACTAATTTTGGCCATAAGACAGTGAACATTTATACACTTAACTTGAAATGCAAACAGGCTAGCAGACTTCAATGAGAAGCCAATGAACTAATCAACACAGATCACAGTCCAGGATCAGGAAAAAGTTAGCTATAAGAAGGTTTCACACCATTACACAGATAAAATCTTGAATTCATAGCTAGTAATACAGATAAATATTACTCTGAGACTTCAACCTAAATTACCATTGTGGTTGTTTTCTCATTACATTTCATTAGAATGATGACTTACAAAAAACAATGTAAAACCTTTTCAAAAATTCCAGGCAGTTAAAGGAAACGAAGAAAGTAAGTACACACTCACCTGGGAAAATATATTTGCAGTTGGAGCAACTCTGTTGTCCACAATACTATATAATATTGCTAACAATCTGTCCAGGGGAAACGGCTTTGGCCCAAGGAGGTGATTGCTGGTCTGCAAGAGAAAAAAAGACTTTTCAATCCAATAGATGTTTCCTGGAGTACCACAAGATGTTATTCTCACATCTTTTGAGACTCTGAGGAGGCACTATAATTCACAGTAGACTTTCATACAGCCTACTTATATATTATGGAAAGCACTGAATACATGCCTATTGATCAAGATAAAGATATAGACCTAGAGGTCTATTTAACATGGCGAGAGTTCAAACTGCACAATAAACAGGAACGTTTTTGAGCTATAACAGAGGATTTGATGCCAAATTTCCCATCATTGGATTTATAGATTTACTTGTCCTATTAAATTACCTCGCCCAATCTAAGGTTTAAAGAGGAAAGACTACATTTTATCAACAGTAAGACATGTTAGGCTTCTTAAAAGCACACAGAATTTCTAGCTAGGGAAAAAAGAAATTTTAAACGTTTAGATTTATTTTATTGTCTACAGTCTACAATCCACAACCACTTACTGCACATAACAGAATAAAAGTTTTTACAAATCAATAAAACCATTAAATAACTTTTATTTTTGTGTGGTTTTCTTACTGAAGGCAAATACTAGCATTCACTTTTTAAAAAAGCATAAGAAGAGAAGATTCTGCTAAAGTACTATGTTTTAGCAAAAGCCTTGTCTCTCGCTTATAGAGGTGAGAGGTACAAAGTCACAACAAGAGTGCCTCATCTTAAATGCCATACTAAACTAAATCAATGGATTCAGAAACAGTGTTGGTACAGCAATGTACTCCCATCACACTCTACAGAGATCCAGTCTAGGCAGCCAGAAGAACCCACTGGTAGATGCCCAGACGCCAGTCAGCAAATCACTCTTCAAAGCAGCCTGAGAAAGTCCCCTCTGAAGACTGCAGGAGCTGTTGGCTGCTGTACTCGGACACCTACATTTACCTGCCTTAACCTGCAAACTGAACAGGGCCATAAAGAGAACGAAGGGATCAGAGCACTCATCATCCAAGGAGAGGCTGAGAGCACTGGGATTGTTTAACCCTGAGCAAAGATGGCGCCGGGGGATTTCATCAAAATACCTGGTAGGGAATGTAAGTATTCAGTGAAAGGACAAGAGGCAATAGGGGAAAATTAGAATTCAGGAAACTATATTTAAACATAAGAAAAAAACCCTTTTTTAACTTAGGTTGGTTAAACACTGCAACTTATTGCCTAGACAGGTTGTGGAGCCTCCAACCTTAGAGATATTAAAAACCCAACTGGGCATTGTCCTGAGCAACCTGCTCTTGGTGACCCTGCTTGAGCAGGGGGATTGGACTAGACCAAAGGTCCTCGTCCACCTCAGCTCTTCTGTGAATTTCTCTTTCTAAAACATAATTAAAAAAAAAAAAGAAAAATCTCTCAACTATCTCTGGAGGAATAGAAGGGGACCTGGGAGTCCTGGTGCACAAGTTGATCATAAGCCAGCAATGTGCCTTTCTGGCCAAGAGGGCCAATGGTATCTTAGGGCACATTAAAAAGAGTGCAGCCAGCAGGTCGAGGGAGGTTATCCTCCCCCTCTACTCTCCGCTGGTGAGGCCACATCAGTAGTACTGTGTCCAGTTCCGTGATCCTCAGTTCAAGAAAGACAGGGAGCTGCTAGGGAGAGTCCAACAGAGGGCTACGAAGATGATCAAGGGACTCGAGCATCTCTCTTACAAGGAAAGGCTGAGGGACCTGGGTCTGTTTAGCCTGGAGAAGAGAAGACTGAGAGGGGATCTCATCAATGCTTATAAATATCCAAAGGGCAGATGTCAAGAGGATGGGGCCAGACTCTTTTTAGCAGTCTCCAGCAACAGCAAAAGGGGCAACGGGCACAAACTGGAACACAGGAAATTCTGTCTCAACACGAGGAAAGATTTCTTTACTTTGTGGGTGACAGAGCACTGGAACAGGCTGCCCAGAGAGGTTGTGGAGTCTCCTTCTCTGAAGATATTCAAAACCTGCCTGGATGCATTCCTGTGCAACCTGCTGCAGGTGACCCTGCTTTGGCAGGGGGGTTGGACTAGATGATCTCCAGAGGTCCCTTCCAACCCCTACCATTCTGTGATTCTGTGAAAATGTATTGACTGTTCATTTTTTCCAACAGAACTGTTGAGTTTTTTATATTTTTGGCTCATTTTAACTTTTTAGTTTTCATTTTCTCTTTTGCTTCCTTTATACCACAATGAAAATTTTACCATTTTGACACCAAAACCAAAGAAAATGTTTTTGATCAGGAAATTAGATATGAGAACACTTCAACTTACTGTTTTACATAGGAAACACCTTTACTACTGTACTTCTATTTTCTTACAATACACTCAGTCATAGGATAATTCCAGCTGGAAGGGACCTCAGGAGGTCTTTTGTCAAACCTCTCCTGCTTAGAGCAGGGTCAGCTTAAGACCAGGTTGCTCAGGACTTTACCAGTCCAGTCTTGGAAACCTTCAAAGACAGAGACTGCACCACCTCTCTGGGAAACAGGTGTCACTGCCTGGCTGTCCTCACGAGGAAAAAGGTTTTCCTTACACCCAGTATAAACATCTCGTTTCAGCTTACACTCATTGCTTCTCACTCTCTCACCATCCATCATTGTATCATGTAGTTTTGATGATCTCCTTGCAAGTACAAGACAGGCTGCTTTTAGGCCTCCCTTCTCCAGCTTGAACAAGTGCAGTTCCCTCAGCCTCTCCTCGCAGGGCAAGTGCTCCAGCCCCTGACCATTTTGATGTCTCTGCTGAACTTGCTCTGGTTTATTGATGTGTGTCCTGAGGGGGGCAAAACTGGACAGAGTATTCAAGATGCAGCCCAAAGACTGCTGAGTGTGAGGGCCCTTTTGTTTCCTTTTAAATTTGTATTTCATTCTCTCTACTTTGACATCCAGTTTCCTTTTTTGTAGCTCACATTGATTTACTCATACTAGCAGAGCAGACAAGATTAAAGAGGAATTTCAAAACAAAGCTTGCTTCAAAATGCTTCTGGGAAAGGACACCTCTCAAATATACCACCGGCACCTCTGTGGCATTAGTCATCAGTAAAACACAACCACTCATTTCTTCAGCAAAGCAAAAAGGTATTTCCAGTACATGTTTTAGCTTTTCAAATCCAGGAGGTGTCCCCAAAGCTACCTCTCAGCTAATAAAGCAAGCAGTGAGACAAGTATTTGAAGCAACTAGTCAAAACTTTAGCACAGCACCCTCAGTCAGAATACAGGTATTGGATAAGGTATGAACCGTACAATCCTCTGCCCTTCTGCTTCTAAACAAGCCAGTTCTGTGAAGTATATTCTTTAATATCAACAGAAAAATGTCAACAAACATACAGTAATTAAAATACATAGACTCCAAGCAGCTAGCAAGCAAAATTAGCGTGTAGTAATCTCTGAAGTTGTGTTTTGTATGCAGTTACTTCACAAGTTTCTTGTTTGTAATACTATCAGCTCTTTGCTTAGACAGAATACTGTCTTGAATTTACAAATTATATGAGAGAAATGCTTTCTTCTGGAAAAGCCGAAAGAGTTAATTCTAATAGAGTGCAACTCCTAGAAGAAGCATTTAGACTTTATTTCTTTAGCAGAAATAAATTCCTGGAAGAAGAGAAATGGTTTAGAAATTCCTCCAAACAGAACATAGTGAAGAGTAAGATTTGTAAAAACCTTCCACAAGGAGCTAAGGCAAAATATTACATAGCATAGTATTTATAAAAATCCAAGGGACCCCTCATCTCCCTTCAAAACAAAAGATACCTTCCACCTTCAGAGTTTCACAGCTGTCAAATTAACCATGGGTGTCCTCTATCTTCTTTCCATCTTTGGCAATACTCTCATCTAATAGTGTCAACTGGGGAAAATCTTTTTGAACTATCTGTGCTTGTGCTTTTCATCTACATTCTCAGAGTTTCACATTCCCACTGTTTAACTGGCCTAAGCCTTTTACCATCCCACAACTGCAAGCGAAGCAATTCACACTCCAAAATTTCAGGAACAATAATGTGGGACTCAAAAGTGTTCTTTAAAGAGTAAAACCTTAACACAAACTAAATTACTTGCACAAAAGGGAAAAAGTTCTTAACCTCAGTTTGCTGAATTTTCAACCTTTTTAGCATATACTCAAAGACAGAACTACACTTCTCACTTTTTTTAGCAGAAAGCACTTCTGAACTTTCCTGGTTGCTATACAAATGCAGCATCTTCAGTTGTAAACTAGAAATTCTGATACAAAACTAACTCTGTTAGCTGAAGCAGATATACTAGACAAACTCTTTTCCAATAAGAAAAAGACACCGACACATCTGATCTTCTGATGGACTGACATCTGAAAAAGCATACTCCTGCAACATCATTCCAGGGCAATCATGCAAAGAAACCCAACAAATTCTGGTGTTATCAGCAACAAGGCAATTAACAGCACGATAAAGTCATTTTTTTCCCCTCATTCACAAGATTTACTTTTTCTAACAAAAAAACACGGCCTCTGGACTGAACACAGTTAAGAATCAAGAAATAGATTTTTTTAGCTTGGCTGTACCTAAACTTTTAAGGAAGAATTTATTTCATCTAATATTAGCTTCCTGCCAAGTAGGTATGTACAGCCAAACTAGTTTCCTAAGTTCCCATTATAGTCAGTAGAAGTCTAATCAATACCGTTTACGGTGCAATTCATCTGACTGAACGTAGAACCTACTTTAGTATGAGACGAATCACACCTTACACTTCAATGACTGCATCGGCTAGCTCTGCACTGTCTATAAAAAGACACTAGCTTAGATGCAGGAATCCACTTGGAATCAGGTGAACCTGATCTGTAAACCAGTCTTTAGACAAGCTCCTCAGAGCAAAAGTATACTGATATAAGCCATCACACCAACTGAAGAAATGAGCCTTTACTTGTACACTACATATGTAATCCTTTATCCCTATATTTAACTTTCTCTCACTATAAAATCATAGTACCAAAATACGCGTTTACATCTTGCTGATGTAAATATCTCTGTGTAAATATTTGCATCTCTGTGTACATCAAACATTACATCTCTGTGTAAGTATTTATAAAGGTTACAGTACAGTAAAAGGAAGATAGGTCTGGAAGATACCCTTAGGACCTGCAGTCATGTTCCCCACCATCACAGCTACTATCCCTCAAAAACTTTCAAAACCAGACAGTGCTCTGACCTACAAGCAGTTTCAGTTTCTGGCATCAATACTTAGAGCAAAACGGTCCTTACCTGTAAACTATAAAGCAACACATAAGCAGAGAACCACTGCTCTGTAACTAGATGTAAAGGTACTCTTCAAATGCCACACAGTTCCTGTCCTATTCATTAATTCCTAAGACACACACCTGTTCCTTGCATGCAATCAGAGTTTAGTGTAACAGAGTCAACTCAAGAGATGTTTTCTGTTAACCATATTTGATTTACTACGATTATGAAGTTCTAACTCTCTTCAAAGTAACACTAATTTTTAAGACAACAAGAAGATGCAAGAGTTGCATCATTTGCAGTCTTAGAAGTCTTTCCTGATTACACAAGTTACTTGTTACAGTTGGACAACAAACCAAACTTCTTTAACTGCACACGTCTAATCACGCTTCCAAAATATCAGTTCAATGCTTAGGTTATAGGGTAAATGTAAAGTCTACAAAATTAGAATTAATGTAATTAAAGTCAAAAAGTAACTGAACTCTTACTCATCTTTTTGACCATTAATTTTATTTACTTTACATTTGTTTACATTTGTTTGAGTTACTCTCATTTACAGTTCTTTAGTACCTCCTTCTGTTCTGTTTTTATACCTATTCAGTAGCATTTAGTTTGCCACAGAAACAATAACAAAATGAAAACCAATTTATCCTTAATGCAGGCACTTCTGAACACTAAGTAGTGAACTCAGATACAAGTGCATTTAAAATAAACAATGAGACAAGAGAACAAGATCTATGGTATACAGTTAAGGTGATACGACCTATGTATTTCTTCACCAAATCTCTATTTTCCCATTTCTTTTACATTCCTAGCTTTTCCCATCTCCCCAGTTGTTCCTATCTCATCATCCAAGTTGGAAATTTATGCCAAGAAAGAATAAAATAAAACACCTTCCCTGCAGAGGACACAAGAAAAAAAGCACATTTTGGTCTAAGATATAATAATTATTCCTTCTCCTGCAAATTATTTATCAACTATTTAAGATGTGGAGAGATTTCAGGAATACAGCAGTCCTGAAAATAATTAAATGCTTTGGAAGTTCTCAGGAACAAAACACACATGAGGTCCTGTACATGCGTGTACAGGATACACGCACTCAGAGACTTCAGAATTCTTAAAATTAAGTATCTACCTAGTGGCGCAACACATTGCAATGTTGAAGTAAAACTACGCTCACTTACAATTTCACATGCAAAAAACGTACCCCTACAGAAATAAGATAACTTGGAAAAAAGTCTTTGGATAGCCAATGACTCTGTCTTCCTGAAGGGGCAGGAGAAAAATTAGGGAAAAGGCCATAGGGAGGATCAGAGGCAAAAGATTATTAGGCTAAGTATCATATTAATTTTTTTCTCGTATTATTTACACTACCTGTTGCATACAAAATAAAAGGATATGATGATTGTTTTGGCAGGGACTTAGTGCTGTCTGCACTGTTCTTCATTTACAGATTTGTTTAAAAATAAGTCAACAAGTTACAAATGTTAAAACTTAATTTCGCTTTTTACATTACTATTATAAATACACATACAGGTATTGCTTTCCCCAACATATCAAGCCTCTGTCAGTAAAAACTGGTACACCTCCACTGAAATAAATTATATTTAGTTATTTATATCCATGAAAAGGTTAATTAATAGTCTGACGGAATCCTAAACAACAGACAGGAGTGCAAATTTTCCAAGCCTCAACACACAAACTTAAGCTCTTATTCCTCACTGCATCACAGGGAATTAAAGTGACTTGACTTTCAGAACTACTAACCACCCAGTACTCTTAACAACTTTGAGAAAAATTCTGATATCTGGCTCTTCCATGTCCTTTAATTAGCTTTATTATGCACATTTTGTTATACACAAAAATATGGCTTTAAGAGACAAATTTACAGTTAAATTTCAATGAAATAAAAATGTGTGTATCATACAGAAATTGGTATCATACAAAACAAATGCAACAACTGTTATCTCTGCAATTCTGTTGTTTCTACAGTAAACGAGGCAAAACTAGCAGTGCAGGAGAAAGAAAATATTTGTTGCTAAGCTCAGCTTAGAAGGATAAAATACATACCTTTTCATGTTTCTTCATAAAGTTGGTCTTTCTAATTTTCCCATGATGCTGTAAACAACAGACAAGAGCAAATATTATATTTACATTATTTTATGCTCCTTCTATAGTGAAGACAGAATCAAAACAGTCAACAAAGCATTGTATGCTACATATGGTAGTATGCTAGTTTGGGTCTGCTCCTTTACTACACCTCCAGTATTTGCTTCTGTTATTACTAGCAATCCTTCTTACTGGAAGCCCTAAAGTTACATTTGCCTTACTGCTTGCTTTGTTGTGGCCCAAGTGGTGCAAACAAAAAACAATACTCTAATACTTTTTGGTGACATGCATAACTATTTTTTCTGATCTTATCAGAGACTGATGAGAAGAGGCAGTAAAAATGTTTTTAATATTACTTCATGACACCATCCTCCTTCTACCCTCAATCATCTAATGAAAAAAGACAGATGTTCCATTTCTTTCTCTTTCCAGAGAAGCTTAAATGATGGCCACTTCATTTCTACAATATATCTATGCATAAACGATGAAAATTTAGATGGATTTTATCTGCTCCGTTTTAGAATTCTGATGGTATGCAAGCTGGCAGAATAACAACCGGGAAGTAAATCAATACAATAGAAAGATAGTTCAAGGTGCAGGAGCTAAAGGACAAACAGAAAGGAGGAGAAAAAAAAAAAAAGAGCATCATTTAAAAAGGCACAGCTTTAAAGCAGCCTTAAGAAAGGACAGACTGTTCAAAGAAAATATCAAGTCGTCTTGGATCTCAACTGAAAATGTGAGGGCAAAACAAGGACACAAATACAGTAAATGATGTTACAAATGAATGAGCAAAAGAAGTTAAAAAAGACAGAGAGACATGAAGGATGACATGTAAATGATGTAAAATTCATGGAGAGGTACAAGTATAATATTCTTTAAACAGTTAACTGCTATTTCTCAAAATATCACTTGATAAGCTTTTCCACAGCCTTGAGAGGAATATTTTATTAATAAGTATATCTTATAAGCATCCTCAATCAACCAGGAAAAAGTATCTCCAATGAAGGAATTATTTTTTCATTTTAATGTTTAAAATCTTGTACTTAGTATTTGTGGATCTCAATACTCAGCCACATCAAGATCGCACAGTCGGTAACTGTGGCATTTCTTGACTGACTTCTAAAGAGCTTAGTATTAGACAGGGCTTTAAGTTTCTTTTAAATAATTTGCTAGACTAAAAAAAAAAAATTAGTTCATTCAAATAATACATATCACATACTTAGAGACAGCAAAGTAATCTTTTTATCATGCCTCTGAAAGGAGGACTGCTGCGATGATAGAGACCTGTTGAAGGGGAAAGTGATCAAGCCTGAGGTTACACGACATGCTAGTGATGATCACAACAAACCTCATTCATACATTTTAAAGGTTATGTTGAGATCTCCATATGGTATATTTAAGTTATGTCAAAAGTGTTTCAAAGCAAGTGAGCAGGTGCTCTATTTCTGTACAAGCACAAAGAAATACGTGAAATCAATTATTTTTTAATCCTGTTTTCTATTAAAATTATAAAATGAAGACTTCATATAGATTGCTATTCTTTTTTGTTTTAAAGACTACCTTCCAAAACCAACTTCATATTTTTCACTTAATCTACCGCAAAGCTCTTCAATTTTCACATAACTAATAGCAGCACTGCCAATTACTACCTCATTAATTATTACTTCATTGCTTTATCAGGCTGTTGGCATCTCAGGTTGCCACAAACTGTGCCTTTATCTTTAGCTGTAGTATAGCCTAGCACCTATACCAGTAGTGCAGATCAGCAGCTCAACCATCTTTTTGTTTGCATCCCTTTTGCTGTCTAGCAGGCCTTAGTTAAATCACTCCAAAAGATACTTTTCTGTAATCTACTCTGAATCTCATTACGAACCCAACAAAACCACATTCTATTTTCACAGTTCACATGACTCAACTTGAACACTCTCCCAGAAGTGTTGGTTTTCCTGGGCTTTGACATGCAGCTACTTCTGAAATTCACCTTAGCACCTGACCAAGGGCTAACTGCTATCAGATGATATGCATAGCAAGAATGGTAACTTTTCCTGCTTCACCAATTCCTGGGAAAAATACTCCATATCTCTGACTGAAATGCCTTCACTGTCCCTGCTTCAAAAACCTTAGAAGCTAATGTTTATTGTACAAAAATCTAGCAGGGTTCATGTGCAAGAGTGGAAACTAACATCAGATATACTTAAAAAGGAGAAAGGAAAAAAAATAAGTTGAGACAGTTCTTCAGTGAACACAAAAAGATGCGGCACTTTGTGATAACGTCCTTTGCTGACTTGAATCTTGTAAGTTTTCCTGTTTCTTTGAGTTCCAAGACTGATATGGAAAAACCCAGGAAAAAACACTTCTTCAGCGAATAAATCTCTAACAAAGAAACTGTTTTGGCCAAGTGAAAAGAACAAAGGTTGCCCATGAAGAAAACTTGTCAGTCTGCACTTAATACAAGTAATCCTTCACTATTCTCAGGAAAGCACTAGACAGAAGGGTGAAACACCTGCAGCTTTCAACGTAAGATCATACCAGAAACATGAAACTCATATTTAAACTACTAATGTACTAGCATGCCATCACTAGGAATTGCAGTAACTTCTCAAAACACGTATCTACAATTTTTCTTCAAGAGAGAAGAAAACAATTCGTATGAATTTGTCTTGTTCTCATTTTCTTCAATTGTTCACACCTATCTATCCTGAGTACCATACATTTATACACACATGCATATATTAATACCTACTGTAATAACGTAGAAAACCTTGAAGTTGGTAAAATGCATAGAAAACATAATTGCCCAATCACTTTTCTGATAGATCTGTCTTCCTGCCTACATTTTGCCAAATTAAGTCCTCAAAAACAATGCAATTAGACCAGCTTGAGGAGCATGAAGATCCTGGCTAAGAAACAGACTACAAACTATGGCACCACAGCATTTATTTGCAGCATGACCACAACATAGCCCAAAGACACAAAAAGAAAAAAAGAAAAAAAATAATCAACGTGTTCACAGCAAGAACTTACAGAAAATGAGGTTTGGCCCACTCATGCTAAAACATGCATTACCATCACGTCAACGCAACAAGTGCCAGCTAATGGAACCACATCTTCTGCAAAAGCAATTGTTTGTAAGTTTCCGTTTCAGAAGGTTAAAATTGTATAAATAAGCTAATGCACTATGTAATTTTACCTCATTAAAGGCTAACTCAGTGAAATATACTGTTGTGGTTCGTATCTTACTCTAGAAATTTAAGTGTGTGGCTTATACCTAAGGACACTGCAGGCACTCCACTTAAGTCTTTACAAAACAGAGTTGTATCAACTTCCAAGAGCAAAGCAGAATCATTGTGCTGTAACAGTGTTAGGCATGTTTTGACATGAGGAGGAAGTTGGGTTTATTAGATATTAATAATAATTAGGTGATCATTACCAAACACAATACGTGATCTACAGGGAAACTTCTGATCAAATCAAATGAACCACACATAGAAACAGAGCTCAAAATGAAGGGTTGAAGAGTTTTAAACTAGGAAATTCAGTATGCAGGAATCCAGTAAGCAGCATCAAGAAAAAAATCTCATTACCTTAAGAAAGAACCTCTTATCTGTCCTGACAGGATTGTAGGAGGCGAGGTAAGCAGCTATTAGAAGAAATTTGGAGTAATAAGGAAGTTCCACGTGTGTATGTGCAGAAAGTCCTACAAAATAAACAGTTTGAGTCACCGAAACCCACTCTGAACATCCACAAACTTCAAATTAGACTTGTTCACATTATTCTCCTTTTCCTTCTCTCCTGTTCTACTCGTTAACTAGCTGAGTACAGCTCCTTTCTCAACCCCATTATCATAGATAAAAAATCGGTGAAAGGCCAAGGAACAGCATGAAGGTATTTTTTCTGGCAAACAGAGCAGATGAAGAGATTTATTTAAATACCATGGCAAAGCTTTTCTCTGAGACCCAACCTCCAGGCTGCTTCAGACTGTGCCAGACAGCCCAGCCAGGAACGGGGCTGGCATGGTGGAGAAAGCAGCAGTGCTGCACTTCTGAGAAGCAGTTCAGCATCTCACAATTTTTAGCCACTGTTTTATTCCTACAGAAAGTGTTTTCAAAATTTTAAACTTGATCCAGTTGACCTAGCCTGCTACATGTATACTTCATTAAGATTAAAGTCTCACACATTAAAACACACGAGAACTACAGTCTGCTGAGTATTTTCCATCTCTTTACTTTTACTTTGTATTTTTTCCCTTTACATTCTCCTGCTCTTGTCACCGGAGTTGCTTCTTTTATACAGCTTATGCATATGAATAGGATGATCAAACCACCTGACTTCATCAGTTGTCTAACTACAGAGACCACTGAAGGGTCTCCTCTTGTGCCTTCTTTGCTGACAGGTTTTCACTTCAGTGGTTTCTTGTTCTGTAAAGTATCTGTACCCTTATGCTTTAATCCACAAATATCAGCAAATAAAGATCAAGGAATTAAATGTGCTTAAAAGTTAAGATTCAGAGCTCCCAGTGATGAGAAACATCCCAGTTGATAACTAGTAATAATTTCCCCTCACATAGGCACAAAAGGACAGCAGTTTTAGCTTTCATTTACAGTCAAGCGACTGTTTTATATTGCATGTTAATTACAAAATGCAATAAACTCTTATACATATAGACAATTCAGTTTAATACAGAAATATCTGTTCCTATCCAATTCTTCTGGTCTGCCAATATTGCATCACGCACTGAATTATTTGCTTAATTATATCCACTCTAAAATTTTTTATAATTGTTTTTGAAGCATTATTATCAAATGCTGTTTAGCAATAAGACAATTTTTCTTAACACAGATACCTGAAAATCCTAGAAAATGTGTTTTAAATAAAGTCTCCCCTTTTGGGGTTGTCAGGTACAAAAGTATTTCATCGTCATCTGGGCACAGAAGTAGGGAGTTTAACAGGAACACTTTGAATCAAACTCTTTTGGCCAACCATGTCGAAAAATTACTGATTATAAAGCAAATATCGGAAAGAGTATGACGACTCCAATTATCTTAAGACAGCTATAAAACGTGGCTGTTTTACCTACTACCTAAAGAAGAAATTTTTTGTCATGATGGATAATATGGAAAGTGTCCCCAAACGAGGAACTGGACAAAAGACCATGACCAACTGACATCACCAGGAAAATGTTTTAGTAATCCTTCCTAAATTATAAAAGAATGCTGACAGATAATATTGAGATTATACTTTAGATGGGATTTAAAGTCAAAAATCGACAAAGCTGTACTCCTCCAAGGTAAGAACAGAAAGAATTCTTGTGATTCTGACATTTCTCTTCACTAAGAAATAAGGACATATGATACCTGTTTTGTTTAGGAATGTGCTAATCCAGTGTAATGCACCAGGTACAATATTCCCTTCTCCCCACTCAGACAATTTGGCCAGTTGGTACACAGACGTTTGACCATCAGGGGTCAGCCCATTCCTTATCTGTTCTTACATAAGAAATATTGATTTAAAGAAACCTGCTTTTACCCACAAAGGATCTTTGGAAAGATTACACCCAGGATATGTGCTCGGGGAAAAAATAGTTAAAGTCCATCGCAGAACACCTCAAAAACCACGAATAGCCTGAACTGTAACTGAATGCTAATAGGTAGCCTCATCTATATAATTCCATTTGCACATTATCAGCTAACAGTGACCAACTCAATCTGCAAAATACATATTTCACATTATAAGCCTCTACAAAGTTACTATATCCAATACCTTTCAATTGTCCAGGCTCTCCATCATCACGCTGTAAGCGCTCCCACTGTGAGCTAAAAAACGGATAATGCAAATATATAAAGATGAAGTATTTGTTAGTCTTTTAGAGACAACTACCTGCTTGGTATATGTATATTTTAATTTCATGACACTGGCTAGGATACAGTAAGTAAGAGAATAATTAAAAATACCAAGTCTTGCTACCTTGCACATAAGTTTCAATAATATGCAAACTACGCATATTTGAAAAAACTGCACTAAATAGTTATAGTAAGGTATAAAAGTGAGTACAAGCTAATTGTAAAATACCAATTTCTTTCCATCCAACTACCACTGGTAAGCAAATATCAATAGTGTTCTAAGTCTCAAGAACAATGCAGAATTGGACAGTTTTGATTTTTTTATGTGCTTAATAACTGTTTATGCTAGTGAGAACAATACCATAATTACTCCATAATGTAATTTTGAAGTCTATGTAAAAAACAGATCAATATCCATTCTTCACTGAAAAACTTTGAAGACATCAAGATGGATCATTTTGTGAGTGAAAATGTCTGCAAATAGTTTAGTGTTTTCCTAAACAATAGCAAAAAAATTTCACTTTAAAACTTCCCTTAAGGGACAACATTGTTAGAGATGTCATGATTTTAGACCATCATTTGGAATACCACAAGGGGATAAAAAACACAGCTTTGTTAAAGCACCAGTGATTTTATTTTTTATTTTTTGTTAAAGTTCTTTATGAACAGTCCCTCAACTAAAATCCTGTGATTTACTTATCATGTACTAGGGTTTATCAGCCATAAGCTATAAAACTTTTGAAAACAATCTAATGAGAGCTGATGTACTACCCAAATTTTAATGAATGATCAACCAAATTATCAGTCACCAAAGTTTTTATCCAATATCTATTTTACAGGTAGAAAAAAAAAGTTTCATTTTCATCTCAGTTCAGGCAGCACGACAGCCAATAACAAAGTCCTATTGCTATAACTTACGACTTGAAGAAAACCCACAGTAATTACAGTTCTGTGGCCAGAAAAAATGATACAGTCATTTTAATTTCTCAAGCATTTACTGGTACACAGAGGTAAATCCTAGAACTATTATGCAGGAAGCTGAAATTTATAACCAAAAAAAACCCAATAAAGCTCATATTTATAATAAAAAAAAAAAACTGTAAAGAGGGAAAACTAGTTATTTGGAAACAATTCATAAGCTATTTTATATCATCATCTTATATTATACTCTAATTAGAGTAGGCAATTATATAATATAAAAAGTCAGGAAGATCCTGAGTAGACTGCGTAGTGAAGATCAATATTGAATATAAATACATATTTGAGGCAAATAGAATAATGTCTCATTGTACAGCGAAGTCTAGCTCATACAGAACAAAATCAATTCTCTTTCTGAAGGAACAATCACTTTTCTAAAACATTTAGCAAAGACTTCTACTATACACCCAGGTTCAGTTACCAGAATACCCTATAACCTCAATGACATTCAAAGGAAAAAAAATCATTATGTTTGTATCAAGATAAAGAAATCAAACACTACTGAATTATCTGTCTTTACATGGCGTAACATCAGAATCACTGATATTAAAGACGGAGAAGACATTAAAACTGAGCCGATTATCACCATTAAAAATGAACACCAGCATCTTTTTCCTAGCAGCCTGGCAACTTAAAAAATAAACAAGGAATCTAAAACCATACCAAGAGAAAAAAAATCAGTCCTTTAGCAAGACACCAGCTTTTAATACTGTTAAAAATGGTAATTCCATATAAGGAAAATTTTGCCCTTGGACAAGAAAACAAGGGGTCAGAAAGCACAGTAAACATACAAACCTAGATCAACTAAACAAAGCTAAGGAACACAGATGTTTAAAATCTGTAACATCTCATCAGAATTTTGAGGCTTGCATGCACCCTTGGGACAGTGAGGATCTGCCAAGCCAACTTTACAAGTGTGTTTTAAATTGTGCCTGTATATTCTGGTGAGGGATTCCCATGCCTGGCAGTTACATACTTGACAGAAAATGGATCTATCTGCATGACCATCAGTGAAAAAGAGACCACAATGTGCAGCCCCTGCTTTACTTACTAAATAATTTATACAGTACAAATACCATTTTGTTTAAAAATTCCCTCCTGAGATACCCCATTTCTAACATTATATGGCAAGAACAAAATGCACATTAAAGAAAAAAGATTGTATCTAGCAAAAAAGAAACACTAGCCATAAAACATAACTGAAAGAGTACATATTTAGAGGGGAAGCTTGTTAAAAAAAGCAACATCAACAAAACAAACAAGCCCTCACCCCGCAAATTACCTGGATATTTCCCGGAGATAAACAGTCTGCATTGCCTTCTTCAAATGAGGTTCAATATTTTTCCAGAGTTTGCGGGTGTCACGTTCATTTGCTGCACCAAGCCAGAATCAACTCTGTTAAACATTTAACTCACACAACACTAAAACTCTTATATCTGACACCTGAACAGTCAGAGGCACGACATAGTAAGTCTCACACCCTGACTCCTGCACCATCATCATCCATTTGCAAGCACATGCTACCGCACGAGGCTCTTTCTCTGTAGTTACTCTGAATACTCTGGGACAGCTTAGCAGAACTTCTGCTCTCATTTTCTCTTCTTCGCCTTGACAGAGAAATTACTTATACCATTACTTTGCAAAAGTCCTGGTGGTTGAGTGGGGAGAAAGTTTTATATGGGGGAAGCAAGTTTTCACAGTATTTCCATCTCATTTCCATAAAACACCCCCAACAAATGTCATCTACTGCTTCTGCTGCAAATGCTGCCTACTGGGTGCAACTGGAATAAGCAACGTTGTTGTGACCACAGAAATGGTGACAACATAATGCGTATCAAAGCAAATTCCTCCACAAAGCCTACCTGCCCTCTCATACATCTGCTCAAACTAAAGATAGAAGCTTACCTTCTCCACTGACCACTGGTTCACAGTATTTAGAAAAATTGAGCACTGCCTACAGAAAGTAAAAAGTACAACATATTAAAAAGGTACTATGTATTTGATCTAGCTACAGAATATAAGAAGCAGCATAATTCATTACTTTACAAACCCAGTGAACTATTTTTCAGTCAATAATAATGCCGCTTGCTTCCAAACATTGTACTGTAGAATGTCACAACATTTCTGTAGATTGAAATACAAACAGAAGTAATCTATCATAGGTTACTTGGTTTTGATCTCAGTAAAATCTGTTTACTGTACTGTGAGGTTGCATTTTTAAAAAAAATAATATAGTAATTAAACATTATAAATGTAATAAAAATGTTTTCATCAACTTTTTTTACAGATATTACTTTCCATTCCAGGAGCAGTCCAGTATGTTCCAAAGTAGACCACACATACTTACACATACACAAGCAGAAATTATTTAAAAAACACAACACAAACCAAACCTGCTAACACATTCCATATTCAAACAAATTCCTTTCGCCTAAGGTAAGATTGACAGAGTTTTGATAAAGTTGTAATCTACTTTTTTTTTTTTTAAAATGGTGAAATCAATATCACACAGAATTTTGTAAAATATCAAACCTTACATTTAATTCTCCTTTTGTTCTGCTGGACCTTACTAAATCTCTGAGCTCATATACAGAACTCAATGCAATAACTTCCACATATAAGACTAATATAATACCAGAATGTCTTATTAATAATCATGCATAATAACACACACATTAAGAGTCTATATTAGACACTGTGGAGTTGTTCAGAAGCCTACAGACAGTTGTATGTGTCTTGTCATTACCTTCTACAGAAGAGACTTGTCAAACAAAAAGAATGTAGGGTCCAATTACATAAATCTTTTCCTAATGTCGGTAATTCCCACACACACAAACAGTGCATCTAAAGCTAATGAAATTATTCCGGTAAGCAGAGCAACTCAAGCACATGTCTAGAAGAACTGTGGCCCTAGTTTCTATTTGTGCCTCCGTCAGATTTCAGCAATCTCATTTAAATATAAAACCTGTATAGTTAACAGATAACTTCAGCTGAAGTTTAGCTACATTTTCCTGATGGAAATGCAGGCAGGACATTCAGATCATCTCACTAGCACTGATTTGTTTACTGGCCATAATCACTCATCACCTCAAACTTGTAAAGTTTCCTTGTACACAGCATCACTATTTAAACAGTAATATGATGAGCTAATAATTGTTATTGTTATTCAGCTTTTCTTATGCAAAGGTCACCATCAAGTAATTTTAATTTTTCTTCTGTTAGTTTGTTTGCTATTACATCCTTCAATTGATAAATGGTTAAAACTCATGTTTCCAAATATCTTCACTGCATTTTTGATCCTTCAGGCATGACTATATTGCAGGAATTTTGACTTACCTATTTTATTCTTAATTCCAAAAGAATGACAATGAAAACATTTACGTCAATCCTTGCTTCTCTAGGCCTTTGAGTCAAATTAATATGCTATGTTTCTCTACAACTGTGCAACACATCTGGCTTGTAGCAGCTTGGTTACCTTAAAATCCTCCATAGGAGACAAATCAAGTGAAAATTTTACACTCAAATAATCTAGGAAAATGTTTCACATTTAAAGTTAGATTTTCCATAAAGTTGAAGTATAAAGAATGCTGGGTGGGAAATTACATTTAATAAACACGGGAAACAAGAATCGCAGAACCACAGAATGGTCAGGGTTGGAAGGGACCTCTGGAGATCATCTAGTCCAACCCCATTGCCAGAGCAGGGTCACCTACAGCAGGTTGCACAGGACAGCGTCCAGGCCAGTTTTGAATGTCTCCAGAGTGGGAGATTCCACCTCTCTGGGCAGCCTGTGCCAGTGCTCCACTACCCTCAAAGTAAAGAAGTTCCTCCTCATGTTAAGATGGAAATTCCTATGTTCAAGTTTGTGCTGTTACCTCTTGTTCTATCACTGGGCACCACTGAAAAAAGACTGTTCCCATCCCCCTGGCAGTATTTATAAGCATTAGTAAGATCTCCCCTCAGTCTTCTTTTCTCCAGACCTAAAATACCCAAGTCCCTCAGTCTTTCTTCATATGAGAGATGTTCTAACCCCCTAATTATCTTTGTAGCCCTTTGCTGGACCCTCTCCAGCAGTTCCCTGTCCTTCTTGAACTGGGGAGCCCAGAACTGGACACAGTACTCCAGATGAGGCCTCACCAGGGCAGAGTAGAGGGGAAGGATGACCTCCCTCGACCTGCTGGCCACACTCTTCTTGATGCACCCCAGGATGCCATTC